GTCATTCTCTTCATCTGTTCCTAAGCCCCCCCCCTCTAATCAGCCACCTAGCACCTTCAAGTCCCATTTCTATTATAAACCAGAAGATCATGGCTAAGGATTTCCCTCACGATGATGAAGTTTGCGCCTACTGCCATGGCTCAGAGCATACCTCCCGGGATTGCCCTCTTGGTCTGAGAGCTTGCACCCCTCCAAGATTGCTTACCGTCTCTGCCAACACCGCCAACATCATTCAAGAGTTTTCTTCTTTCGTCGTCTTCTATCTTGAGGTGGGTCATCCATCTATTCAAGAGCCTAGAGAAATGCTTGCCTACCGTTTCAATGTCTCATCATGGCCCCATCAGATCAAGCAGGCAACACGAACTAGTTTTATAGTTTAATTTCTGTCCGATGACCTTCTAGATCAAGCCATCGAGCTCAAGCTGATAGATATGGGCTCCTTCAAGGGCAGATTCAGGCATTGTAGGGAGGACCTCAGGCTATCCACATTGCCCAAACCCTTTCTAACGTGGATCCGCCTCTTCAGATGTTGGGTGCTTATCAAAAAACTTGATGATGAAGCCTTCAGAAATGGGAATCCCCATGTTTAGTTTATCTCTGTATATTTCTTCTTCCTTACTCATAGGGAAACTCATGAGGGATTTTAGATTGAATGAGGATCACACTGTAGCCTAGCAGGTTGTAACTCTGTTCCCATTTCCTCCACCACTTCTATAATATCCTCGTCCCCCATGATTTGTTTTTCTTTCTTCTTCCCCTCAATGTAAAGGGTAACTATGTGTTTAGAAGGCTTCAACCTTCTTTTGTTCTACGTTTTTTAAGGGGTGCAAGCACCTCTACATCCCTCTTTCTCTTATTCATTTTAAAAATAAGAGGAGGATCTTAGTCCTCAAAAAATATGTCAGTTTCTAGTAGAGGGACTTCCGCTGATCGCGGTTGAGGGACTTCCCTCTTAATATCATTGTCAGCCACGCTGCGTGGAGTACCTGTTTCAAAAAAAATCAAAGAATAATTATGAAAAAACTTAAAAACATTTATCTAACCTTAACAATAAACCCGTAACCTTAACAACTAATTCGTAACCTTAACAACAAATCCGTATACTTAATAACTAATCCGTATAATTAACAATCAATCCCTAACCTTAACAATCAATCTCTAATCTTAACAATAGATCCCTAACTTTGACAACCAATCTGTAACCCTAACAATCAATATCTAACCATAACAACCAAAATAGTAATTTTAACAACTATGCAATATAATTCACATGTAGTGAAAAAGGATCTAACCCGTACAAGTTTGCAGCTTCATCACTAGGTTGGACACCTCTCTAGTCAGCTCATTTCCCTTATTTATTTCTTCTTCAGCCTCAAAAAATTTGCCAGCTTCTGGTGGGGACTTCCTCTGGGCAACGATCTTCCATCTCTGTATCAATGTCGGTAGTATCTGGTGGAGAGACTTCCCCTAATAGCTCTCCTTATTAATCTCAGCAAAGTGATGTTGAGGAACTTCACTCGCAATGTCAATGTTAATGCGTGGAGTGTCTGATTCAAAAAAAATCAAAATATAATTATGAAAAAACTTAACAACATCTATCTAACCTTAACAACCAATCCCTATACTTAACAATCAATTCCTAACATTAACAATCAATCTCTAATCTTAACAACAGATCCCTAATATTGACAACCAATCCGTAACCCTAACACCCAATATCTAACCATAATAAAAAGTTTGTAATTTTAAAAACTATGCAATATAATTCACAAATAATGTACAAAGATCTAACATGTACAAGTTTGCATCTCCATCGTTAGTCTGGAAACCTCTACAGTAGGCCTCTTATTCTTATATACAGTAAGGCTTCTGTGTCAGGCTTCGCCTAGTTCCTCTCCCAACCTCCTCACTTGAGCAGACAGAGTAGCCACTTTTACAGAAAGAGAAGTTATCTGCATTCATTCGATAGCAATCTAATCTTCAAATTTCCTCTTATCGTCGCGACGTAATTTTGATTCATTATCACGACACTCTTCCAATAGCTCAATTGCCGAGGCAATTCTACTTGATCAACTGCCTCGGTGTGCTGCTCGACCGTGTCATCATTGATATTATGTGACATACTCTATGAGATAAATACAGACAGAGTGTTATTAAAAAAAGAAATCATTGAAAACCAATAGCCAACATTAACAAGATATTTATAATTTATAATTTTACTACAATGCTTACCCATCCTTCAAGAATGATATCATCTTCATTTCCCCTTTTCTTTTTAGGAAGAGGCTGTCTTTGGCCACGGGCCTTACCGACGTCTCTAGGAGCCCGTTCCTTATTCTTCTCCCTCTCTCCCTCTCTCTCTCTCTCTCTCTCTCTCTCTCTCTCTCTCTCTAATCTTCTCTTCTTTTCTCTTCTTCTCTTTCTCCTTCTCTTGCTCCTTCCACCACAAGCCTCTCTCAATAGTTTGTACTTGGCCCTAGAACTGTGTAAGCTTTATAGTAGCTTGCCTTACTTTAGCTACAAAAGTGGTCAATCTCAGGGATCCCGCAACATCTCTCAGTTTCACCCAATTAGTGAGGGAAGGTCACATCATACTTCCCACTACTGGCTTCTTGATGCCAGTAAGTTCATAGTACTACAGCTGCACATTAGAAAGAGAATATTAACAACCACCTTTAACCTTAACGACAAATAAGCATACATAATAATAAAAGCGTAACCTTGACAAGAAAGTTGTATCATTAACAACCAACACGTAATCTTAACAACCAATCCCTAACCTTAACAACCAACTCGTAACATTAACAACCAACCAGTAACATTAACAACTAATCTGTAAACTTAACAACAAGTACGCAACCATAACAACAAAACATGAATACTTACACAGACAAGCTGGGTACACCCTTGAAGATATACAATCTTCTTCCCTGGCCCAAGACCCTTCAGTGCCCTTTCAACATCAAATGTCTCACTGAATATGTGTGTATATATATACTCTCTCTTAGTATATAAGTATATATAAGTATAAGTATATATAAGTATACTTTCTCTTATATAAGTATATATAAGAATACTCTCTCTTATATATATATATATATATGTATAATGTATGTATATATGTATGTATATATATACTCTCTCTCTTAGTATATATGTATATATAAGTATACTCTCTCTTATATAAGTATACTCCCTATTATATAAGTATATTCTCTCTTATATATGTATAATATGTATGTGTGTGTGTGTGTATACTCTCTCTCTTAGTTTATAAGTATATATAAGTATAGTATATTACAACGGCTACTTCTTCCCCATTGGTCCAACGGGCAACGACTACTTATATGATTCTCTCTCTCTTAAGTTATAACTTATAAATATATACAATATATTTACATATAATATATGTATATATAATATATAGTTACATAATAATTTGTAAGTATATACTAATACATAATTATATAAAATATAATAATATTAAACTAATTTTTAGCATTTTTTATCAAAAAAAAGAAAAGAAAAGAAATTTAAAAAAAACCTAGTTGGGATGTACTTATCTATTGTGATGCGATAAATTCCAAAATAAATTTATACTTGTAATTTATAAATAATTTATTAATTATTAATAAAGAATTTATTTTTATAATTTTTTATTTGTAATTTATGTCATTTTAAGTGATTAATAAAATTATTATTATTTATTAATTTTTTTATCTTTTTTTGTATAATTTAAATTTTAAGTAAAATTTAAAAAATTTGATTAAAAAAATTAAAAAAAAATAAATAAATCGGGTCGGCCCGGGTCCGGGCTCTGGTTTTGCCCGGCCCGGGTCCGGGCTTTGGTTTTGCCCGGCCCGGGCTCGGATTTCCGGGCCCGCCCGGATGAACAGGCCTATAGATCCCCCAAACAGTGTTATTCACATGTTCGATACTATCAACATACTTGAATAAATGCCTAGGAATGCCAAGAACACTTCCTGGACACCAGATCATACTCAGCTGATAAAGGATCTAAAGCAGGACAAAGTCCTTCACATCTTGATGATCGGTTGATTGTACAAACTTCATTAGAAGATCCTCTACATGGCGTCTGGTAGGTGTTGGGGGAGGAGCTATACTGTTGTCATCCTCGGGTTTGGTGAAGAACCTCGACCATATTCTATTTTTTTGTTCTCGGTTGGGGCCAACAAGATCCCCCTTATTGGAGAACCATGTATGGCTCACTACACATTGAAGGTTGAATAAGCACTAAATGTCTTCTTCTGTTTTTGTATCAGTAAAGACAAATTTTATCTTTTTATCGTCCCACTATCTCAGAATGTGCTCAAAATTGGGAAGATCAAGACCATGAGGGCTAAAATGAACGTAGTGTCTGAATACACTATCTTCGTATACCTCCCAGTGCCTTCGTCCCATATGCTGCACCAATGTATGCAAGAACTCGTAGTAAGCAGTGAAGCTTGAAGTAGGCCGCAACTAAGATATGGTCTTTGCCTTTTGTCTACAAAACAAAAACACAATACATGAATAGCTGTAAACTTGAGAAAAATAGCTATAAACTTATCAATAAATCCATAAGCTTCACAAGAAATGCCTATCCTCAACAACGAATCAATAACATTAACAATAAACGCATAACCCAAACAACTAACAGGTCGCAAGTTAACAGTAACCTCCACAACTAATAGCCACAAGTAAATAGTAAACTTCACAACTAGTAGTCGTATGTAAATAATAACCTTAACCACCAACTCATAACCTTAACAAGTAACCCTAAACCTTAACAACTAACAGGCCACATGTCACAATTGAACAATAACCTTGGCAACAGACCAATAACCTTAACAACTAATGCATAACATCAACAATTAGTGCATTTCCTTGACAACTACAAGCTAACATTCACAACTTAACAAAATCATTCACAATAAACAATATATATTTGTGGTAAAAAATCACACAACTTAACAAAATCCTTTACAATAACACAATAAACAACAGATATTTGCAGGAAAACATTACCTTTTTGAGCTGCAGTGTGCTTCTCTTTAGCTCCACTCTGTAGATCCAAGAGCGCTCTAGAGGTAGCATCAGTGCCGGTGGTGGCGGAGCTTCCCTCTAGATCTATTCGCTGCACAGACTTTTTGGTTGAGCTGGACTTGAGGGATGAGAATGGCTGGCTGTGATGTCCTCTAGAACATGAGCAATTGAAGCGTCAGCTTCATTCCACTCTGTTATGGTCGACGGTCTTTTTGAGACGACGAACTATGATGCGTCGTCATCTTCGCCGAAGTTGACATGTTGGGTTGCTTTGAGGGTTGAATCGCTGGCCATTTTTTCCGATTAAGCTTTGGAGTGGGTTGATTTAGGGCTAGTGTTTTGCAATTGGTTTTTGGAGTTGGTTCGCTTGGACAGAAGAGATGAGAAGGTACGAACAACGAGGAATGATATACATAAACAGGAGGCGGTTAAATCAAAGAGCATTTTGGGAAGAGCATGTTGGTTTTTAACGGCGTTTCACGTGGGGGGTGTTTTGGGGGCTAGAGAAAAATCACGAGAGTTTTTTGGGGGCTTTTGGACCATTGACAAAGTCTTGGGGGAGGGAGGGGGCGGAACACTCACTCGTTTTGGGGGCTAGAGGGAATTTTTCCTTATAAGAATGATTATTTTATGAACTACATTATTATATTATTGTAGATAGAGCAATTTTATACTAATATACAAATGATGTAAAAATGACAATCTATATGGAATGAATTGATGAACATACATCCATTACATTTTCCAAAATGATTTTGTTTCTGTAGATCTTCCATCATTAGTTCAAGTTTTATCTTAAAATCTCTAGCCACAAGATTTGGCCTTTCATCTGGCCGTTGTTCACCAACTTCGTTTAATGTGGCTTTAACCTCTTCCCATTTGGGATTGGCTGTCGTTATTATAAAAAGATATGGATTTCCCATTGCTCGACAAAGATCTATTGCATCCATATAGTTTTGATTCATGTAGCGCGTACCTCCTGTGAAAGAAGGTGGTAGGACTATTCTTTGACCTACTTGAGAACCTTGGGTGTCACCTTTGTAAACTGCATCTTTGATTCCACAATATAGCTCTGCTCTGATCTTGATCTGATTTTGTCTCACCCAATGTAGTCTGTCCTCCTCAATGCATGTTAGAAGATCGACGATGTATGTTTGAAACAGCTTTCCTGAATAGAGTAAAGTACGGCCTTCATTTTGACATTGTTGAATACGGAACGCAACATATTCTCTCATCGTAGCTTCTATCCTTTTTGTAGATTTACTGCTTAGTAATTCACACATGCTTTATATTAAGCCTGAATCCGTCCTCTCTATATGGAAAAGGTAAGGGGTATTGCAATGCCATGAAGGTGTGGTGCAGATCGGATATTCTTGTCAAGCCTAGTTTTCAATCTTCAATGACAATGTCATGCATCCCTATTGTCTCCTCAATATCACCTACAATTAGCCCCGCTATTTCGGATGCACTTGGCATATTTTGTTCTGTCACATCTCCGCTTCTAAAGGCTAAGATGACCAATTTCACCGGCATTAAATCATCTTCCTCAATGCAGTTCCTAACCATTCTGAAACCTTGCACCAATATATGCACTAGTTTAACATCTCAAGTAATCCTCTGACAATGCTCTCATCAATAGCATTAGCACCATTTATAGCTGACATTTGGTGGGAAATCTCATTATCCGTGTCATATATGTAGAGTTGGCAGAACTTTGGTGGTACGTCGGGTGTAGGTTTTATGGCACCCATACGATGATGATTTTGTCCATTAAGCCAGAAACAATTGTTAGTATTTGTTTGTAAAAAACAAGATAGTCCCACATTGGAATTTTGAACATTCTTTTAGAAGTTTAAAAGCATTGAATGCTTATTGGGCTTTGAATAATGGATCAAAGTGTAGGCTTCTAAACCCGCGTGCGGGTAGCGCGAATAATGCGCGATTTTGACGCGATTATTAGACGCACTTAGCACTTAGCACTTAGCACTTAGCACTTAGCACTTAGCACTTAGCACTTAGCACGCTTGCCGCTACCGCTTAAATGTTCTATTTTTTATATATATTGAATATTTTTTTAAATGTTATTTTGAATTTTAAAAATTATGAAAAGACAAGTGACTGTTGACAAGTGGTTGTTTGCTCCAAGGGGTGTTTTGAAAAGTTGTGACTGTTGGAAGCACCTTTTCAAAACCTATAAATAGTTTATGTTTTCAGATGTCTATTTACAATTCTTTTCTGAATCTTTTCTATCAAAAAAACTTCTGCAATATTACAAATTTGTTTCACAACGAATTAAGGAAAATTCTAGATTTGCTTACTGGAATTTTCATTTTCTGTTGTATCCTGGGAAAAAAATTTGCATTAACCCGAAGCAACTTTGAATATCAAGTGGGGGCAAATTTTCTGTTGTATCCTGGGAAAAAAATTTGCATTAACCCGAAGCAACTTTGAATATCAAGTGGGGGCAAATATTTCTTTAAGGAAAGTGTTTCACGCCTCAAAATTTCTGTCTCCTTCAATTTTAAAACTAACAACAATATGGTCCCCTAGCATTATTGAATGTATTGTCAACCATGCCGCCCCCGGTTGATGTAAATGCAAACATTGCATTGTAGGATCTTACATTCTCTTTGAATTTTCTACTATTTGGATTTGGACTAGGACATAAAAGATCCCGTAGGAAGACTGGTGGTTCTTTTAGTAGGGGAAATTTAACTTTTCCTTTGATGCACTATAGAGAAATTTGGGTTTCTTTGTTGCTGGGCTTTCTCTGCTCTTTCTTCATACCATAACATAGCTCCACAATGTTCACATATGATGCGTGGTGTTCCAAGGTTCTGTATATCATCATTTTGTACTGCAAAGTTAATTAATGGTTATTAGTATTATAAAACATACAACTATTTGTTCAAACCACTGAAAGCATACAATTCAAGCAAAGTTTGTATATACTGAAGCTTAAAGAATTTTATCATTGAGTATCTGGTGTTTTCTTGCAAGAGGATTGAACAGAACTTGGTGTTTGATATACTGGATTACTGAGCATAGGCTTGATTCTTTTGCTTCTATAACTCAATATTTCGAAACTTGACTCAAAATCCTGGTGAATATAGATTACCATCTAACATCGTGACGCTGAAATATGTAATAGTGTTTACCTTGTGAAGAACTTGCCATTTTATCCTTCGCTTCGATGTAACTTCTTTTTGTGTATGTATGTATATCTGATTTTCCTTTGTAGTCGGCCAGATACTTCTCCAAGTACTTGTCGTAATCACTATTTAAACGATGCTCCCAGTTCACAGTGGATATCTGTAATTATTTCACTTTTATGAATAAGCATTCTGTCTTTGTTTTTAGATTGAACAATGTTAGGGAGAGCATATTCATTATAGTGCTTGTATCTTCTTATGAATGTCAAAGTTAGATTTGGCATTAGAATAGAAATATCTACTTCTCTCACTTTTGTGTGCTTGCTTTGACGTTGTCAACTTTAGTGTCTTCAAGTTGTGTACCCGCTGGTATGATTCAGTTATCAAATTAGTCATCAACTACATTTAATTCCACACCCACCCAGACCCAACTTATTTTAAAAGTTTTTAAATATGCTTCCTACATCTATTTAATTGTCTGCATCAAAAGTCACTGCGTCTCTTTCCATTGGTAAGTTTTTTTCATATGAAATTATCATTTATATGTAGAAATATAATATTTCAATTTAAAAATCACGCTGAAGAAGAGTAATTATTATTTAGGAAACATGGATTCTCCAGGTTGATCTGCAGCAAGCGCAGTAGTCAATGACATGGATACTGAAATTGTTTATTGAGGTAAACCATTTCTTTATTAAAATATACACATGTTTTCATCAATGAGCATGTTACTTTAACATTTTCATTTCCAATTCCTTTACGTAGCTACAAAGAATTAATGGAGCATGCAAAGCAAGCTTCCAACGAAGACAGTGGCATGGACTATAATTCTCAAATAAAACACGGTGGAATTGTTATAAGTTTCTGAATAAATCTGTTGCGCGATTCGAAAACGTTACGAACATTAAACCTTCCACTCTTAGGAGGTTTAGTCGTATTTAGTTTAGTATCGACTTTTGTAGAGAGTGTTAAGTTTATGAAAGTTTTTGCTGATATATTGCTGAATACCTAAGTATGGCAGGTTTAAGAAATTGTTTTGTGGGCGAGTGATCGATAGTGCTGTCATGTGCAATATGTATTAGTTTGTGTGAATACTATTTTAGCTTTGTGTAAGACTACATGAGTGATATTTATCTTGTTTTAATGGAAGAATCTTATTTTGTTATATTCAGTTAGTATCAACTGAGATAATTCCATTTTGAACATATTCTCGTTAACTATCCCAGGAAAATATCATAAAATTTTGTGAATGAAGTAACTGCAATACCCTGTTTTGTAATTGATTTTTTTTTTTTTTTGTGATGGATGTTTAATTTAGATATTTGAATAGGGAAAGTTTAATTTGTAAATGGAGTAACTGCAATAATCTAGTTGACCAACTATGGATGTTTAATTTTCTTGGGCCATTCCAAACCTGATTTAATTTTACACATTATTGTCCTTTGTTGGTCCATCGACTCCATCTACACGTGTGAATTTACTTAGGCCTTTCCAAAGCTGATGTGTGTTTTGAATCCGATAGTAAAGAAAAATATAAATGCCGACTTGACTTGTTGTGGATTGAGTCCGCTTCCGCTGGGCGCAACACAAACTATATAAGAAAATAACAATATATTGCTACGTTAAACATGAAAGAAAATTTTGAATCCGATAGTAAAGAAAAATATAAATGCCGACTTGACTTGTTGTGGATTGAGTCCGCTTCCGCTGAGCGCAACACGAACTATATAAGAAAATTAATAATATATTGCTACATTAAACATGAAAGGAAATTTTGAATCCGATAGTAAAGAAAAATGTAAATGCCGACTTGACTTGTTGTGGATTGAGTCTGCTTCTGCTGGGCGCAACACGAACTATATAAGAAAATTAACAATATATTGCTACATTAAACATGAAAGGAAATTTTGAATCCGATAGTAAAGAAAAATGTAAATGCCGACTTGACTTGTTGTGGATTGAGTCTGCTTCCGCTGGGCGCAACACGAACTATATAAGAAAATTAACAATATATTGCTACATTAAACATGAAAGGAAATTTTGAATCCGGTAGTAAAGAAAAATATAAATGCCGACTTGACTTGTTGTGGATTGAGTCCGCTTCCGCGAGTCCGCTTCCGCTGGGCGCAACACGAACTATATAAGAAAATTAACAATATATTGCTACATTAAACATGAAAGGAAATTTTGAATCCGAGAGTAAAGAAAAATGTAAATGCCGACTTGACTTGTTGTGGATTGAGTCTGCTTCTGCTGGGCGCAACACGAACTATATAAGAAAATTAACAATATATTGCTACATTAAACATGAAAGGAAATTTTGAATCCGATAGTAAAGAAAAATATAAATGCCGACTTGACTTGTTGTGGATTGAGTCCGCTTCCGCTGGGCGCAACACGAACTATATAAGAAAATTAACAATATATTGCTACATTAAACATGAAAGGAAATTTTGAATCCGGTAGTAAAGAAAAATACAAATGCCGACTTGACTTGTTGTGGATTGAGTCCGCTTCCGCGAGTCCGTTTCCGCTGGGCGCAACACGAACTATATAAGAAAATTAACTCATTAAACATGAAAGGAAATTTTGAATCCGATAGTAAAGAAAAATATAAATGCCGACTTGACTTGTTGTGGATTGAGTTCGCTTCCGCTGGACGCAACACGAACTATATAAGAAAATTAACAATATATTGCTACATTAAACATGAAAGGAAATTTTGAATCCCATGGCTAAGGAAAATATAAACGGTCACTCAATAAGAAGAATTTTTATTAAATTATAGAACAGAAAACTTGGCGAAAAGAGAATTATTACTTCCATGGAATAGATCTTCTCGAAAGAATGAGAGTCCCTGAGAAACCCTGCCGAGTTTCTAATGTCGGTCAAGTTTCTGCAGCACGTCTTGCTGCTGTTACACAAATTACGTTTTCTCACGAAACACTTTTCCGTATCATTCCACGTCTTGAGTACTGAGTTTGTAGTAAAAAAAACACTGACAGGCTTGCTCGATGCAGCAAATGAGATTGCTAGGTGAGCAGTCACAGCAAACAATTAGGAAAAACAAGGAGAAAAGGTAC